CTAAATTACACTACAGTAGTGTAAACACATACACGTGACTGGGAGTATGTTCTGCTAGAACCATGATGGATCGTTATTATACAGGTTGTTGGAGTAGGTACTATAACAGGACGTGTATATTCTAATTCTTGTTTACAAACTAAGTACTAAAATACACTACAGTAGTGTAAACACCTACACATGACTTGGAGGGGGGGGGTTCTGTTAGAACCATAATGAATGGTTATTACACGGTCTGGTGAAGTAGGTCCTTCAACGTGTATATTCCAACGTTTTTGTACAAAACTGACTACTAAACTCCAGTACAGTGGTGTAAATATCTACTCATGACTTGGGGGTTTATTTGTTAGAACCATAATGGATGATTGTTATAGAGTGTAATGAAATGAGTTTATAAATATCACACATATTCTAAAGTGTGTGTACACTTCCTCTTTCAACTTTCGTCCAATCTAATTCCAAGTTACGGAAGTCTAGCACCAAGTTTTTCGAGAGCAAAATAGTTTGTTAATTTTTTTTGGAAAGACAAAGACATTTTTCTGAATAGTTACACTGAACTACAGTTCAATAATTAGAATTAGACTTAAGTTATACGAGTTCAGGGCCTCAAAGTTTACAATCAATTGGCTCGTGGCGCTTCAAACACATTATTGTATAACTGTTTTTAATCTCTAGAGCAGTTTATGTACTCCAAGGTTCATGTCTATAGGCAAACCCAATTCCAACAAACAAGTTAGTTTTTAAGCCTTTTCAATGCTCCTTACAAAATGCATTAACCTTCAGTCTGATTAAAATGACTTTTGCTTATCTAATATTTAAATACTTTTTACTAAAACGAAATACAATAACAGTAGAACCTTTTTTGTGATAAGTCTTCGTGAGCCTCTATTGGAAAACATTAACACAAATTAACTACGTCCAGCTTATAGATACAACATAGAATCACTCCAAGCTATTCGCTGTTCAAGTTCAGTTTGTGGTTTACCAAACTGGATCATTTCAATGCAGCTATGTTACATTAAATAGAAATTAATTTCAGCCAGCATTGTTTTGTTTATAATTAAACACAGAGCTACACAATGGGTTATTTGTGCTCTGCCCACTACGGGTATCGAAACCCGATTTCTAGTGTTGTAAGTCCGCAGACATACCGCTGTGCCTATGGGGGCTTCAGCCAGCAATGATTATGCTAATGTTTTTAAACAAAAAGTTGTTCTTTTAGAATGCACATTTGTTTTAAGGGGAAAGTGTGAAAACTCGTCCAATAAAGTTCAGAATTTTCAATTTTCTACAATTCCTTTAAAATGGTTTTCTTTTCGCTTTGGTATTTATCGAAAGTTTAAAAGTGCTACTATACTTGCATCTATTCATTTATTTGTTTTTTACCACACAATCAATATATAACTTACTTGTTCTCTTAAATTGTAAGTTCTACGGTGGGCCAGCGGTACCTTTATGAACTTTCAATGCCAAAATCAATTCCCCACAGTGGACATAGCGCAGATAGCTTATTATGTAGCTTTGCGTTAAAGATACAACGTCTTAAGTGTTAACTCTGTTCGTGTTAACAATTATTGTGTTAACTCGGGAAAATTAAGTGAAGGTTTAAATCGCCAAGTTACACGCGCTAAGAAAAACACATAAATGCAATGTGATATTCTAGCTTAAAGGTGAAACATGTAGAATACAGAATGGCCTACTTTGTGCTTTCACACGAAGGAAAGATTCTTATCCACTGTCTTACAAAACAATCATGGAATGTGTCCTTGGAGGTTTTTTTATTTTTTTTTCGCGTTCTGCCATCGCGGAGAAAAACGCTGCATGGGTGGTAAGCAAATACAGACTAAGGTCCTAACACAAGACTATGCCGTCGGCAATTAACGTTTATTATCGCTGACTTCAGTTTGATGACCAGACTCAGAAGCAGGTTTAACGAAACAGTTTTAATCAGCTTGTTCTGCGCCGTTACATTTAAGCCCCAAGGACTTAACTATTCGTCATGCTAGCCAATTATTAAAAAACAAAAAAGTCCACCTGGATGACAGAATGAATGCACGTACTCACAGATTTGAAGCTTCACACATAAACTAGGAACGCATTCAAACGCCGAAAAAAGAAAAAAAGAACGAAACATAACTCGGGACCCAGAACTCGTGCTAACTCAAAACGAAAAGTTTATACAACCTATAATATACAACAGAAATATTCAAAAATAAAAGTGACTCAATTTTTCCGTTACATATTTAACCACATATTGGAAAAAGAATATAAACTTCGTGTTACTAATTCCCCAAAATGTTAAATTGATGTAAGATTTGTTATAAAAACAGACAACTTGCACCAGATCAATTCTTTATTTGAAATTGTTTGTTTGTTTGGAATTAAGCACAAAGCTATACAATGGGCTATCTGTGCTCTGCCCACCACAGGTATCGAAACCCGGTTTCTAGCGTTAAGTCTGCAGACATACCGCTGTGCCACTGAGGGGCTACAAAAAGATATTTGTTCTGTATTTAATACTACACTGCATGGGTCTTTTTCCACCCAACAGAAAGGGAAGAAAACGTAAAATTACTTCTAATGTTAATTACGAAACGAAACTTCTTAATTCTATTTACTGAAGACAAGGTTCTTATAACAATTATATCATTCATCACGTTGATAATCGATCTGTTAATAATTTTCTTTTTTTTTGTGTGATTTAAAAAAAAATCCAAAAGTTTTAAATTGGTTACGCTGTAACTCCTTCGTAATGTGTTCTGTTATTAAACTATATTTAGGAACTCTAGTTTTAGAACACAAGAGCAAGAAAATGTGTAATTAATATCCAATTTCTGAGCAACTTTCGCACTATTTTAACAAAGAATTCTGCCCCCCCTCCCCATCAATGTTCATATAATCTTGAAACTCATTCCAAAGAGTAGGGGCACAAAAAACTATCCCCAGTTGACAAAATGCTACGCCTAATGGAGTCTTAAATTTCGAATACCAATCGAAACACTTTCTGAAATAATCCTATCAGAAGCATTTTTAGTCCTGTAAAGAATATCGGGGACGGTTTTATTCTCAAGAAAAGATATGAAATACGCTCTAAAAGGTGTACCACAGTCCCGATTTGAGCAGTTCCTTAAATACTCATGAATTCATTTAGGCGCATGTCTGTACGTTTCTCCGATGACCTGGAGAATACCAATCGAAACACTTTCTGAAATTATCCTATCAGAAGCATTTTTAGTCCTGTAAAGAATATCGGGGACGGTTTTACTCTCAAGAAAAGATATGAAATACGCTCCAAAAGGTGTACCACAGTCCCGATTTGAGCAGTTCCTTAAATACTCATGAATTCATTTAGGCGTATGTCTGTATGTTTCTCCGATGACCTGGAGAGAGAGATTACGCTGTGAACGTTCTTCACATTTCACGGATACTTAAGGTGTGTATGGTAAGTGTTGCAATTCTGGTTACAAAAGGGTTATCACCGAGGCTCTAGTGCTGATTGAACTATCAAATTGTTAACTCAGTACCTGTTTTTTGGGTTTTTGTAACTTCACGTTAATATGATTCTATCTAATAGTTTTACGAGTGTTATGGCTAAAACAATATATTAGCCTTTGAACACTAACCTCTTTCCGTTAACGTCATAAATAAAGACGTGCATTAACTTGACTATCGTATTCGAATGAGCGTGAACACTGTAGTCGCTTGCAGTAAACGTTGTAAAGAAAGAGAAACAGATCAGCTTGAATCTGGAGTCTTGTTTAATTAAAACTATAAAGACAGAAACATACTAGCTTGAAAACTATAGTTCTTTGAATTAGGCGTTGTAAGGAAAGAGAAACATACAACGCCTAATTCAAAGAACTATAGTTTTCAAGATAGTATGTTTCTGTCTTTATAGTTTTAATTAAACAAGCCTCCAGGTTCAAGCTGATATGTTTCTCTTTCCTTGTCAGCTTGAACCTGGAGGCTTGTTTAATTAAAACTATAAAGACAGAAACATACTATCTTGAAAACTATAGTTCTTTGAATTAGGCGTTGTAAGGAAAGAGAAACATATCAGATTGAAAATGGAGTCTTGTTTAATTAGTTATATAAAGACAGAAACATGCTAGTTTGAAAACTATAGTTCTTTGAGTTAGGCGTTGTAAATACATACGAGTTAAACAAAAAAATGTAATATTGTAATAAATACCACTAATTATTTCAAAGGTTTTTCTATATTTTCATACGGAATTAGTGAGTTCATGGAAACAGTATTGCCAGTTCTACACACTGAATGCTGCAGCAGCAAAAAATAAAATTCAATATGGTCTAATACCTAGACTCCATCGGAAATGAATAGTATATAAACAAGTGTGTAATTTTAAGGCTACTAAATCAGATTTTTAAACAATTAAACTAAGTGAATATTTTGTAAGGGAGCTATGAAAACAGGTATAGTTTGTTTGCACTTCAAATGACATATCACAAAATATACTGTAAATTTTATACTTTTAACTGACTTTATTTTTTTAGACTTTTTCAACCCAAAAATTCAATAGTTTGACTTCATTGTTAATCGATTTTTGCAGAATGTCTATCATAAATGACTGTAAAAAGTTATTTGGTTTGTTTCTTTAGTAGCACGTCCTTTACCGCTTAAACGATTAGTAACTGTAACTCACTATAAGATATTTTGATAGTTGCTGCAGTGACTTAATTTTCCATATTATATTCCTACAACAAACAGCACCAATTATTTGGAAACTCAAAAACTAATTGGCATGTTTATATGTTGTAAAAGAAAGCTAAATCTATTTTTAAAGACGTATAAATGTTGGAAATATTCAAAAAATTTAATTAAGATAAAATTAATTTAATAATGTTTTTAAATGTTTGACCATCAAAACTACAGGGATACAACTTATGTTTTCCTAACTTACTATATTGACGAAGTCCTCGAAGGTGATTGCCGATGATTTACGTCCCTATATGTTTTTAAATGTTTGACCATCAAAACTACAGGGATACAACTTATGTTTTCCTAACTTACTATACTGACGAAGTCCTCGAAGGTGATTGCCAATGATTTACGTTCCTTAGCTTTAGCCACCAGCATTTCTCTTCTGGATGAGTCAATCTGCTCCTGAAATTCGGGTTTTTTTAATGCTGCAAGAAATTCGTCCCAAGGAATCTCACCAAATCCTTCAGGATCATACTGAAACCAAAGATTCTCAATCAAGTTCGAGAAAAAAAAGTTAATATTCCTTATTATCTGTCTAACTAAAATAATTGTTAGAACAACAATCTTCTACAACAGCAAATATTTCACCTTAACCTTCAGTTACTTAGAAAGTTTTAGAGAATGTAGTTTATACAATGGCGTAACATAACAATCCAAAACTCTTCACTTCGTCCCCATAGAAATGATACTATTTGTCAGTGGATTTTTCATTTTCAAAAATGCGTCTCTTGCCATCCACATTCTCCGTTATATTTCACGATCACATTTACCATCTGATGTTATTCAGCATCCCAGGTGATTGATCTGCCTTATCCATTCCTTTTCATAATTACTTAAGAATATATATTTATTCAGATATTCCCACATATATATATTTTTCCCATGCAGTTTCTATATGTAATCTTTTTACCTCTGTTCTTAAGTCTCACGCCGGAATGTTCGTGATTCTATGTATACTGCTGTGAAAATAAACTATTCAAACAGGTAATACCTTTACTCTTAAAACAATGTCCGATTTTACTCCTCGTCTTACACACAGATTCAAAGACAGAAACAGGTAATACTTTTTACTCTTAAAACAATGTCCGATTTTACCCCTCGTCTTATACACAGGTTCAAGGATAACGTTCCAGTAAGAACTCTCCGGTTAATAGCATATTTAACCCAAACTACGTTGTTGCTTTTACTTTTGTTTGCTTTTTTGAGTAAGTGTATTCACATCGTGCCACCTACTGCGTTACAATAACATATTTGTAATTATATCATTTGTCTTGATTCTTCATAACTAGAAGTTATTTACCTCACATGCTAGTTACAATTAATCAAAACATTGTTGACTTGAAAATATTGATCTCACCCGTCATATTAAAATATTGCTAATATTATATTAAAAAAAGTTAGTTTCTACATCGGAGCCTAATTTTGTAAACATGTTTTTATAGTAGATCACTATATCTTAACGTTTAGTATTTGTGATAAAACCTTTGTAAAGTTGTTTATTACGTGTTTGTGACTTAAGTTATGCCGCATTGAGCTGTCTGTAGAGTTTGAAGAGCATAAAAAAACCACACTTGTGGTTGTATTGATTACCCCAGAGTGCAGGTTAACACAGTTTAAAAAAAACGTCTTAGAATTTCTTTACAAAAGTAACATACTAAACTTGCTTGATAATAACGGTCATCCTATAAACCGACCTCAAAGAAATACACTAAATTTGCTCAAAAAAATTCAGAGCCGTCTTATACAATGGTAAATACGATAACTAGCATGGCTTATAATGGTACATAAGCTGTTGTTTAAAGTAAGTAACCTGAGGACTAATGAGTTACGTCATTAAGGATTTTGTTTGCCTGTAAAAGCAGGGTATCGACACAAGCCTCTATCCCTCGTCCCTTGCCTTTGGAGGTCTGGTGGTTAGGGCACTAGACTCGCAATCTTCCGGTGGCGGGTTCGAATCTCCTGCGCCAAACATGTTCACTCTTTCAGGCGTGGGAGCGTTATAATGTGACGGTCAATCCCATTATGGTAAAAGAGTAGCCCAAGAATTGGCGATGGGTGGTGGTGACTAGCTGCCTTCCCTCTAGTCTATCTGCTAAATTAGGGACGACTAGAGCAGATAACTCTCTTGCTTTTGGTTTTCTTTATCTTCGAGTCTCCCTCGTAGGTCAGAGGTAATTTTACAAACTTACAAAACTGAAATCCGGGTTTCGATTCCTGCGATGAACAGAGCGCAGGTAGTTCATTTTATAGGTTTGCGTACAAAAACAAAATAGAAAAACAACTTTGTCTTGAAGGACTCCTCTTCACCCCAGCACCCAGTTAAAGTCAACAGAAAGTGAAAGACGGCCAGTTCAGTCATAAAAGTTCCATCGTGAATAAAGATGCTATTTTTTACGTGTGTTTCTTTCTTTTGCTGTCCGAGTTCGATTTATTCTGCGTATAACATTTCAGGGATCTTCATTTTGCGGATACGTTTAAACTTATCTACCGAATATCAGTAGACTCGAATACCCAACGTTTGTAAGTTTTATAGTTGGTTTGATTTCTACTTCGGGATTTAAGTTTGTTTAATATATTTTTAAAAACCTAGTATTATTAAACTTCTTTATCCTATTTGATATGCATGACTAAATTTTTGATTGCTTTTGGGAATACTTTTATATGTGATTTATTTTCATTTGGTTCAGTTTTGCTTGCAACGTAATAATTAACTAATTAGACCGAGTTTTCTGTTTGAGTGTAAATCTTGTAACGTTTTGTCGTAGTTTGTTGTTTCTGAGCTGTAAATAAACGTTTCTCTAAGAATTCTTTCCCCAATGGCACAGTGGTATGTCTGCGGACTTACAATGCTATAAAATGGGTTTCGATACCCGTGGTGATCACAGCACAGATAGCCCATTGTGTAAATTGTGTTTAACTTCAAACAAACAAACCTTCTCCCCCGTTTTTTTTCCCCTCCAATTACTCCGGCTCTTTTTCCTAAAACGAATCGTGCATATATGGTTGGTTTATTGCCCTAGTCCCTTAAGGCAGATACTTTCACCACTGGCATGTCTTTTGCGCTGTGATACGCACGAGCTGAACCTTGTTAATGATCTTGTTCCTGGTTGAAACAAAAAAATAAGAGCCAGTGTTTTGGGAAGACCATCGGGAAGAGTTTCTTTCAGTAGCAAATAGCATAAGATGATGTCCTTTGGTTATTTATATTATCTCAATCATTCAAACAACTATATTTTATCACAATTTTGGGCCTTACAAGTGATTCTATTTTTTTTTTAAACACACGCAGTTTCGTTTCTGCTTAATTTTTTTATCACATGAAGAATATAACACGTTTTCTTGGGAAAATAATACCTTTCCATCCAACAACTGGGTTTATTTGTGATCATCATAACACTTCTGCCTGTTGAGCTATTAAAATGAGTGTAATTCCAAACAGTCCTTTATAGTATTCCATATTATATACGACATATTGATGACTGTCGTGCCTTCTATTGTGTATGTATATATATATATATATATATATATATATATACA